AAAATTGGTACTGGAACACAATCCAGAAAAACATGGCTGGGTACTCCGCATGGTAGCAGTAGTATAGCATATGTTCGGTAGGCGCCTTTGAAAATCCTTAAAGTGACTGGTGCCCAACTTTGCACTCACATCCCACAACCGGCTAAGGACTCATTCCTGAGGTGACAGGTCAGCCCACCCTGCCTCTGAAGTCCCCCACATGATCCTAGGGGTCAGAGAGATGCTACGCACATGTAGGGCAAAGTAAAATAATTGCCTAACTCGCCAACTTATTAGAGCTTACACAGGGCTATGGACTACATCCCTACTCTTATATGACAAAACAGGCACCAATTCCATCCCATGGGAGATTGGGATTGATTCACACACTCACCCATTCCCAGATGTGCGGGGTATTTCATTTTGCTTTGGGTGGTTAAATGGAGGAGAGAAGGAAAACGTTGAGGATGTACTTCTGGGGATGGGAAGATTTAAGTGACCCTTTTCTTTTGCCTCAATGGACTAAAGAAAGGGTCAGTTTAATTTAGAAGCCCTTGGTATGGCATTCCCCAGGTGTCTTTGTATTGGAGTCTGGAAGACCTGACCTGATACATGGTGATATGCCTTTCCTGCATGTTCAGCAAGCTAGACCATTCCCAAGCTAGATTGTCTCCTAGGTGCCCAAGTTGAATGATGTCAGGATGGTAGACATGCTCTCTGTAGTAGTCAATAAGAGTCAAACCCCTACCTGGCTTTATATACCCTTTAGATATCCCCACCTTAGATAGTGGCCTGCCCAGGGTAGAGGGCTTTGCAGCACAGCAAAAACAGGTACATGTCACCAGCAGACACGAAGGGGGTTATTCAGGAAGCAACCCGAAGGATCAGCCGTAGCTTCGGCTGATCCTTCGGCTAGCTTCGGCCGCCAGAGCCCTTCTGTTCAGTCGAACCGAAGGGCTGCTGTACGGGCTCTTCACTATATGCTTTGGCTTGAATGAGCCGAAGTGACTGCCGAAGTGGGGTGACTGAAAGCCTCACAACTGACAGCTGGGCGGAGCCAGCTGTGATGTCACGGCTGGCTCTGCCCAGTTTACAATGACAGATCAGCGTCCCCAGGATACCTGGGGACATTGAACTGTCATTAAACAATGACAACTTGGTGGAGCTGGCCGTGATGTCACGGCCGGCTATGCCCAGTTGTTATTTATTGGCCGGGACCTGCTAGAAGACTCTAGTAGGTCCTGGCCAATAGGAAACAGTTGAGCAGAGCTAGCTGTCACTGCTAGCTCCGCCCAATTGTTTCTTTTTTTTAATCTTTATTAGTTTTTTAAAATGTATCATTCATTTACATTTTTAACCTTTTTTCCAGTTTTTCTACTCTGCTTGGTACCACAACGGAATAGCCGAGCCGAATGCCGCTCAGCAGAATTCGGCTATTCACTCACTGCCATTCGGCCCCTATGAGAATAGACCGAATAGCCTGCCGGAGGTTCGGCTCAGCCGATCCATATGTTGGATCGGCTGAGTCGAACTCCTTCACTTCGGCTCAGTCGAACATGCTGAGCATGTTCGGCTGAACCGAAGACAGCCGAAGCAAGTCGATATACGTCTGAAATCAGCCGTACAAGCCTGAAGTGAATAGCCGAACAGCGTTCGACTCTCTTCACTTCGGGTGGGTTATTCACTCGGCTGCCTTTGGCAGCTTTGTGAATAACCCCCTATATTAGCAGATGGCATTGTTGGAGTGAATATCTTTAAAATTCATCAGAACTGCCGCCAACATTCTCCACTATTGTTAATATGTAAAAATATAATGTATTACCGATGGAGAATGGGATAAATGCATCATTCTTCTTAAAATTGCCTTTGGAATCAAGAAAATGTTCCGGGTAAAACTCGTAAGGTTTTTCAAAGTAACGTTCATCTCTCAGAGAAGAGGAGAGCACTGGGATGACTGTGGTTCCCTGCAGGAAAAATAGGTACCAACAGGTTAGTACACAACAGAAGAAGGTGTTGGCCGATATGTACACACAAAGACATGATTCTATGACTTAGGGCTTGTTCACACCACATTAAGAACACGTGACACAGCAATGCCCGAGGTCCGGTGTAAAGGCAAAAAAATAGTGCATGCATCAGACCATGGGCATTGCTGTACCACGCCTTCTGGTGCAGTGGATCTCACTGCGGGTGGGAGGCGTGGCTGTAGTGTCATTGACTTGAATGGCAACACCACGCCCCCTCCCGCCCCAGAATGCGGGAAGCTTTTATTATGCATTCCAGCCACTAACCGTGCTGGAACGTACTGGATGTGGTGTGAAGAAGTCCTTCAAGCCCAACTCCAGGGAAATGTAAAAGTTTCCCTGCAGTGGGGCTGCCCCGCACTACAAGCGTTAACTGCTCAATTATGCCAAGGGACAGGAAAAACCTGTTTGTTTTTTTAACAACATTTCTTTAGTGTGAAAAAAGAATACAAATTAGTAATGACACACTATATCCAGATCAAAATACAAAATGAGAGCAATGCAAACAGCATAATAAATCAACAGGTACAAAGGCAAATGGTAGTATGACATGAGCAAAGGAATGCATACATCCGTTAAGCTTTACAGTATATAGGGCATGTGTCTTGAGCAAACTAGGAAAAACCTGTTTTACTTCCTGATTCCCACACCCACTGGCTCCCTCCTGGCTGCTGGACCTGTCCCCGCAACCTCTTCTTCCCTAACTCCAGCAGCCTAAGGACCACTAATGTCATCAAGTACAATGCAGGCTTTGTAGCCCTACAAAGTATGTGAGGATGCCAAGGGCCAATCCACATCTGCAGCAGAGGGGAAGAGAAGAGTGCTGGCTTCCGGGGGAGCGGGGATCAGGTAAGGGCAGTGGCGTAACAGTCACCATAGCGAGCCAGGCGGCCGCTATGGGGCCCCAGGGCACAGGGGGCCCCGGCCAGGACATCCCCCTGATGCCGTTGTTAATATGTAAAAATATAATGTATTACCGATGGAGAATGGGATAAATGCATCATTCTTCTTAAAATTGCCTTTGGAATCAAGAAAATGTTCCGGGTAAAACTCGTAAGGTTTTTCAAAGTAACGTTCATCTCTCAGAGAAGAGGAGAGCACTGGGATGACTGTGGTTCCCTGCAGGAAAAATAGGTACCAACAGGTTAGTACACAACAGAAGAAGGTGTTGGCCGATATGTACACACAAAGACATGATTCTATGACTTAGGGCTTGTTCACACCACATTAAGAACACGTGACACAGCAATGCCCGAGGTCCGGTGTAAAGGCAAAAAAATAGTGCATGCATCAGACCATGGGCATTGCTGTACCACGCCTTCTGGTGCAGTGGATCTCACTGCGGGTGGGAGGCGTGGCTGTAGTGTCATTGACTTGAATGGCAACACCACGCCCCCTCCCGCCCCAGAATGCGGGAAGCTTTTATTATGCATTCCAGCCACTAACCGTGCTGGAACGTACTGGATGTGGTGTGAAGAAGTCCTTCAAGCCCAACTCCAGGGAAATGTAAAAGTTTCCCTGCAGTGGGGCTGCCCCGCACTACAAGCGTTAACTGCTCAATTATGCCAAGGGACAGGAAAAACCTGTTTGTTTTTTTAACAACATTTCTTTAGTGTGAAAAAAGAATACAAATTAGTAATGACACACTATATCCAGATCAAAATACAAAATGAGAGCAATGCAAACAGCATAATAAATCAACAGGTACAAAGGCAAATGGTAGTATGACATGAGCAAAGGAATGCATACATCCGTTAAGCTTTACAGTATATAGGGCATGTGTCTTGAGCAAACTAGGAAAAACCTGTTTTACTTCCTGATTCCCACACCCACTGGCTCCCTCCTGGCTGCTGGACCTGTCCCCGCAACCTCTTCTTCCCTAACTCCAGCAGCCTAAGGACCACTAATGTCATCAAGTACAATGCAGGCTTTGTAGCCCTACAAAGTATGTGAGGATGCCAAGGGCCAATCCACATCTGCAGCAGAGGGGAAGAGAAGAGTGCTGGCTTCCGGGGGAGCGGGGATCAGGTAAGGGCAGTGGCGTAACAGTCACCATAGCGAGCCAGGCGGCCGCTATGGGGCCCCAGGGCACAGGGGGCCCCGGCCAGGACATCCCCCTGATGCCGTGCGGGCTGCCTGGGTCACTATGGCATTTCAGGCTGCTGGCTGTCACTGGCGGCTGTGAGGAGAAACACGCAGCAATTCACATGTGCAGCGGCGCGTACCTCCTCACAGCTGCTAAGTCGATGATAACCAGCAGCTTCGGGGGAGGTGGCTGGGCCCGTCACCGGCAGCCATGGAGGAGGCGGGGCCTAGCGATCGAGGAAGCAGGTCATAGCGATGGGGAGGCGAGCCTGGCGATCGAGGAGGTGGGGCCCAGTGACGGAGGAGGCGGGGCCCGCAAGCGATCGTGGAGGAGAAGGAGGCGGACAGAGGATCGGCCAGACAGCTAAGAGAGCTTCACCGCCCACCTGAGACAGTCTAGCCCTCCTGAGAGAGTCTATGGTGGGCTCTGCAGGGTCACCCTCAGGTGGGCTGTTTGGGTTATCAGGTGGACTTATCTAGAAATCACAGGGCCCCATACAAGATTTTGCTCCAGCCTTACCTCACACAGTTATACAGGCTCCTCTCCTGTACTGAAATGGCTTACTCGTTCTGTAGGTATTCGGCAGCCAATGATGATGTAACTCCTGCGCAAGAGTGCTGGACTTGCAACTTACTGGCTCCATTCTTAACATTGGAGCCAGTAATTCTTACAGATAGCAGGAGTGATTAAAGTGACACTAAACTCAGGAATTAAATCTTAAAAATACATACAAGCAACCTATTACACAAAATGTCTGTTATTTGTGTATCACTCGACTGTAGATCCTCCAATCATCTCTGAATTGGTGCAGACACTGTCCTTCCTTCTGGAGGGGGTCTACTTTTGTTCCCCGTGGTCCCTGTGTGTGTTGTAGTCTATCCCAGTGAGCTTGGAGGGGTGACTACTTTACAACACACACAGTGTTGAGGAGCAAAAGTAGCCCGACTCCAGAAGGAAGGACAGTGTCGGCACCAATTCAGAGATGACTTGCAGATTTACAACGTCTCTTCTACCAAAAGCTCTACCTGCTAGCGATGTAATTTACTTACACTGTATATTTAAGGTTAGATCCGCATTTACAGTGGCACTCACCTTTGGAATAAAAAATCCCCTGAAGGTGACATCTTGTGACGTTTCATGTGGAAGACTTCCCGGTACAATATCGCCATACCGTTGAATCTCATGAATGACGGCGTTGGTGTACGGCATTTGCTTCCGGTGCTCTAATGTAGACTGAGCTGTGCCAATAACTTTGTCTATTTCATCTTGTACTTTCTCTGTTCAGAATTAGATACATAGATATATATTATACATTCATGACCTAGATACTGTATCTTTTGCAGCCTCGCTATATGTTTTATAAAAAGGTTTACTTTACCTGGGACCATAGGCTTGGTGAATATCACTGACAAATAGACAGTCACCTTCTGTTTTATGGGGACAGTGCTGAACTGTATATTGCTAATGTAGCACCCGCCTGACCCCAATAGGCCTGTAAGACTATACTCGGCCGCTCGTGTGATACTGCGCATGCTGCATTTTCTGGAAACATGAACTAATGCGCTGGATTTATTTGAACCAGCTTGACCTGTGGATCATTGCTGAACTATCTTTCAGCTTGTGTGTGTTGCGTCCTGTTTCTCTGCCCGTTTGTTACCTGTTGCCTTGACCCATATTGCCTTTGACTATGCCTGATTGCTGCCTGCCCTTGACCTCTGTTGGCTCCTGGATTATGCTTCTCTCTTCTGCTCTGTACCTCACTGCCCGATTGGTGTGACCTTGGTCTGCCTGACATTGTCCTGCTTCCCGCTGTGCACCACGCTGACCTTCCGGCTGTATCATGGTCCTGTTCCTCCATCCTTGGAAGCCAGCTACTGGACTGTGTCCTGGCACGGTGTCAACACACCCTTTGGCACCTGTGCTGCTCTCTGTCCTCTCACTTCCTTTCTCCACTCTCCGGGGTGCGGGACAATAGTTGCAAGGGAGGCATCCTCAAGTAATTTGGTCTTCAACCAGGTACATGATAGTACCTTTAAGCCAAAATGTCTGAGACCGAGAGGAGTGCCTCTCCCGTTGAGGCTTTGTGCCAGCAAATAGCCTTCCTCACCCAGGAGGTGAAGAATTTACAAGAAGGGTATTTTCAACTTGAAGGACACATGACAGCTGTAGCCTCCTCTGTTGCTACTCCAGCTCAGAATCTTTCACCTTCTGTACTGCCAGCTGCAGCCCCTGCTTTAACAAATCCAGCTCCAGAACCCCGTTTACCAACACCAGAATGATTCCTTCGGTAGAAACTTCTGCTGTCACTCATTCAACAGAAGTGGAACCCATGCATCTGTGCCTTGTACAAGCCTCTCTGACTCCTGAAGAAAGTCAACGCTGCTGCCGCAATAATCTGTGCTTGTATTGCGGGGAATCTGGCCACTTCCTGCGTGGCTATCCATTTCGATCTAGTAAGTCCATTTCCTCCATCAGTACATCCAGTTGCTTTGCTAAGAATAGTCTTTCTTACCTCACTCTCCCCCTTTCTCTACAGATAATGGGAAGAAACATCCAGGTGACAGCCATAATGGATTCTGGCTCTCCTCCTCAATCAATTGCAGACCACATCAGGGTCCACATGCATTGCCTCCTCCAGGCTTGATGCCTAGGCAGCATTTCCATTTTTGAGCATTCCTCCCACTCACTAAGTCCAGGGGGCAGAATGGAACTGAGCACATGGCAATCTCCCGGGTATATATGCTATCCCCCAGCATGCACCACTGGCTATGAAACTTCTAGTGATTGGCTGGTGAAGACATAGACACTCAAGATGTTCCTCTATTGGCTATCCCACTCTGCAGCAGGGTCACACCCCACTCAGGCAGTTACAATCAATAACAGAACACCTCAAATTAACCAGAAAATAGCCAACTATAAATAAGCCAGACTGAATACAGTACTAGCAATGCTAAATTTCTAGTAGCCACTCCACAGAAGGTGATAGGGTGATAGGAGCCACACTAACACAAAGCACGATTTTCAGAGTCAGGTAGGTGATAACTATGAAAAAACATATTTCACAAGGTAAATCTTAATGGTGTGCCATGATATGGGGTCAGCCCGTGGCCAAACGCAATATAACTCCCATGTCTTACTTTGTATATCGGGATATTCAATCATTAGCAGGAGGGCCCATCTCAGAGTGGTGGATGTCGTCTCCATACCAGCAGCAAACAAATTGCCCACCAGGGCTGTTAAATTTTCATCGTGGTAATATAGAGTAGATTCTGGCTTCCCCTGCAGAAGAGAAATAGAAGATGTTGGGGCAATTAGATGCAATATAACAGGCATACTACAGCTTGTCAGTCTCATCTATTGCAGTGATCCTAGACCTAAAGCAACAGCCAACAGAATTCTCATGTGTATTTAAAGTGCAGCTAGAGTCCATGCACCCATTGTACTCCTGACCGCTCCTCCATTAGGAAAAAGTGGGTGCTGCGGTAGTCGACGGATGGCCACCGTCACTATGGTACGAAAGAATATGGACACCGGCACTCCAACGGCAGACAGATTACGTCTAATTATTGACATACATGCAAAAAACACTTAGTGCAATGTTTTGGGGTCACGTAGGATCTCCTTCATCAGGCAGAACAAGTGGCAAATGTAAATGAAAAACACAAATATATATATATATATATACATATATATACACACACACCATAACCAGTGAGCAGACCTATCACAGAGCCTGCTGTTGCCCTGTGAAGTCATAACGTCGTCACACTCCCACCATAATTCAAATCAGAGTAGAGTAAATACAGACAGAGCAGATCGATGGTCAAAGTACAATGAGAGTTATGTGGTTATCACACATGGCTATACAAGGCTATATACAGGACTAAGTGTTTTTTTGCATATAGCGTGTTTCCCCCAAAAATAAGACAGTCTTATATTTTTTTTGGCTCAAAAAAACACACTAGATCTTATTTTCGGGCTAGGTCTTATTTTTTTTTTTTTTTACTGTATAACAAGTCAAAGTTAATGCAAATCCAAATTAAATAATCCAAAATGGCAAAGTTAACAATAGGGTGATCAGGGGTGCCATACCTTTCCAAGTGCAATTTGGTAACCAGAAAAAGCAAAGCACACTTTCACTATCGATTCCTCACAGGCAGAGTGCATTTGGTATCACTCCGCCTATGACAGGAGCCGGCGCTATGGAGGAAACATCGGCTTATCCGGCTCTGGTCTCTGTGCTGCCGCCTCGCTTCCTCTAGTGCTGGCTTCATTGGCACTGCTGATTCTCTCCCGCGGCTCTTCACGTTCCCCCTTATGCCACCACCAGCCCTGGCAATGGTCACAACTAGGTCTTATTTTCAGGGTCTTATATTTTAGGAATTCCCAAAAATAGTATTAGGTCTTATTTTCAGGGAAACAGGGTATGTCAACAAATAGACATATCTATCTGCCATTGGAGTGCCAGTGTGCATATTCTTTCGTTTTAAAGTGCATGTGTGCCCAAAATAAAGGTATTAACATATTTACATATATTACAGGTATTACTTATTTACATATTCATAACAAGAGACACACAAACAAGCCCCCTTCTGACCTCTGTAGCTACAGGCACTGTGAAAAATTAATCTTTGAAATATCACACCCCAAACGCACTTCCCACCCACAGTTCAGTCGCCCAAACAGCAATGCCGTTTGTTCCATTGCAGTGTGACTTGGGTCAGGACGTAATGACCAAGGACAAATGTGGGTCCTGAGGTTACACAGGTTGAGAACCACTGCAATAGAGGTTCTGAAATCATAGCTCCTATCTCCTTATTTTCTCGGCAGCAGAAGTGACTTGGCAGCCTGGAAGCCCTCTAATGTAAACAAACAGCAGGTGCTCTAAGCTGATAGAAACTGACCTTAGAATCTCCTTTGGGATCTTTGTGGATTAATTACTGCACAGTTCCTGGAGCTATACAGGTCGCCGAGGGTTTTGAAGATGACACATATTCATCTTATATTTTGCCTTCCTTGCTTGCTCCAGCCCATCCCCATCAGCTTGGTATTAAAAGTTTTAAATAAAACCATTCTATTTTCATTGCATACCTTATTTAGCAATATTATCACCGTCCATCTGTATGCAATGCAGACAGATCATGGCTGGTGGGGTGGGGGGCTGGAAAGGTGATACTTAGGTTCCTGGAAACATCACAGCACCCTTCCTCAGTACTGCTCTTAACCTCCCTGGCAGTCTGATTAGCTCATTTTTTTGCCCCCTATTTTTTACTTTTAAATCTCCCACTGGTTCCGCCCCTCTGCGACGCGGGCGCTCACAAGGAACGGAACCCGGAAGACAGATGCCGGCATCGGCAGGAGGACACAGCGGGGCTCGTGGATAAGGTAGGTGACGCTACAGTGTAATCCCGAGTGTGGCTCGGTTTACCACTTTTGGTACTGAAAATTAACCTCGAGCCACACTCGGGATTACTGCCAGGAAGATTAAGAGCCCTCAGCCCTAATGCAAGCAATGGGCTTGGGAGGAGTTATTCAAATATCAAAATTATTATAATTATTATTATACAGGATTTATATAGCGCCAATAGTTTGCACAGCGCTTTAAAATGGTGGGCTAGTGTCAGTGGGTGTGTCTAGGCAGACTGTATTTGCATGCAAACCACCCTAGGAAATATTTACATGTGGTGCTGAGCCTCCATAAGTGAAAGGATTGAAATCTAACAAATGAAATTGGCAGGCCAGGGAAAGTCAGACTGGGAAAGAAAGGGCTAGATCATGCTGTAGGTCCTCCAGCCAGGAAAAAAGGCGGGCTCTATCTGACCTCCCACAGCTTCTAATGCACCTTGTGATAAGCTTGCAGCGTGCAGTGCAGCTGTTTTGTGCTGTTGTCCTCAATTGAGTCGCAAACACAATAGTATCCTGACAGAGTTTTTAACCTCACCTTGCTTTTCAAAACTAAATAAATAAATACAATAAACCAATAATTAAATTAATTAGATAAATGAATGAATAGTATTAAATATGCAAATTAAATAAATACATTAAATGAACTAATTAGATAAATTAATTAAACAAAATTAAATACATTTACCACTTGCCGCCCGGCCGATTATAAATGGCCGGATGCACAAGCTTAATGGCGGGTGGGTGTTTTTTTTAAACCGCCTTTCCCACCACCCAGTGCGTGCACGAGCAGGGAAACCGCACACATTGTTCACAGCTGATGAAGGCTGTTGCATACAAGCGTTCAAGTGGCTATACAGCCACCCAATCGCTTATATGGTGCCGGGGAGTGTGCCCCCCTCCACTGCTGCCGGATATCCTGGGCTCTGCAGTCCTCTGTGCGGGCCACTCTGGCTGGATCAAAGGGAGATCAGCACACTTTTACCAGCTGACCTCCCTTCCTATTTTTTTGGAATGCAGAAGCAATGTGTATTATATCACTTCCGCTTTCAGCCTGTCATTCCTCTGGCTGCTGTGGCCGGAGAAAAAGCTAATGAAACAGATCTCTGCTTCATCAGCTTATTTGGGGGCCCATAGGTAAAATTAGGGGTTAATAGACCCTTGATGTCTCCACAAAGAAGACCTGTCACTGAATCTGTGCTATCACATATGGGGCTTGTTACCCACCTATGTGATAACAATAAATGTAATTCTAAAAAAAAAAAAAAAGGTCACATATTAAAAAAAAAACATATGAAATATATTTTAAAAATTCTACTGTCCCCTGCCCCCACCCACACACCAACGTAAACACTCATTGGGTGCGCCTAGGTGTGAAAACGAGACACATGTCACATATCACTACAATCAAAAGAACGAGTGAGCGGAAATCTGTCCCCCAAAATATTGTATTAAATGAATTTCAGTACAGCGTTGCATGACGGAATCAATGTCAAAGTAACACAGCGCTGAATACTGGAAAATGGCCGGGGCAGGAAGGGGGTTTAACAGCTTGTTCTTCAAGTGGTTAAATAATCAAAATTTAATAACTACAAGAAATAAAATAAATATTTGGTCTGGCGTGTTTAATAAAATGTTGATATTGCTTTGTACCCACAGAAGTAACACACGAGACACGGTTCATTCCCTTCTACAGGCTAAAAGCTTTATATATTATTTTTTCTTCTATCCTAAACCATGAAAACAAAGCAAAAATATTTCGCACCCCAATTGATTTTTACTGAATGTTTTGCTTTGGTAATCCTTACCTCTTGTTGCTTGGCCAGGAATGTATCAATAAGGTTTCTTTGGTCATTCACATCCAGTTCTTTTCTCTGCTTAGTAAATGTGGCTCTTATAAAGCTCAGAAAATGTAAAATATTTTCATTGATTTTCTTGTGGCCTCCTGGCAGCAAGCCGACCAGAAATGGAAAGCTGTTGTAGAGCTTAAAAAGAAATGTATACAATATTAATCATACGTGAGATTATATATATATATTAGGGCTGTTAATGATTAACATTTTTGTGTTCGATGAATCGAATTTTTTTTTAATCGATTCATTTCGATTAATTATAATGCACATACAGATCCAACTACATTGGCCTATACACATAAAGCACAGCAATGAAGTAATAAAATTAACTAGGATCACACTAATCCTCTTCCATGGGGGGGGGGTTATTAATAAAGGACTTTTCAAACTGGTGTGTTGTCCTTATTTACTATGTTACTATTTATTTGGTAAATGAGTAAGGGTGACAACTACGCCTTACTCATTCACGAGGGGGTGGCGGAATCTGGGTGCCCCTTTATGATATGCCCCCAGCAATTGAGCTGCAAGTTTGAAAACAGACATCCCAACTCTCCCGGACGCTCCGGTAGTCTCCCGTTATTAGATAGCGGCTCTCGGCCGCCCGGGAGAGAAACACTTTCTCCCAGAAAGGTTTACTCTGCTCGATCGAGCAGAGTTAACCTGTCCCTGCTCTGTTTTTTGTTTTGTTTTTTTCCGACATCGGGGCCGCTGTCAGTCAGAAAAAAAAAAAAACAACAACAGCAGAGGAATGCATAGCTAGATTCCTATTGGCTATTTCCCTTTGCAATAGCCAATAGCAAACTAGCTATTGCACCCGCCCACTGCTGCTGTCAATCAGCAGAGGGGGACCTTAAGTTCTCCATCAGGTCCTCTTCTAGTGATTGACAGCACCAGAGGGCGGGTGCAATAGCCAGCTTACTATTGGATATTGCAAATTGAAATAGCCAATAGCAATCTAGCTATGCATTCCTATGCTGCTTTTTTTTTCCATTCTGACCGCAGCAGCTGCCAGAATACAAAAAAAAAAAAACCTGCAGATAGCAAGGGAAGCATTAGCTTCTTTGCTATCTGCCATCATTTCTCCCCCCCCTTCCCCCCTTAAATGAGAAGGGCACCTCCCTGATATTGCTTCTTTCAGGTTGGGATCCCTGTGAAAATGACTTGCTAAACTTTTGCTAGACTTGGGAAGCTTCACAATGTTGTTGCACAATTACAGCAAGTCTGCATTGCAAGTCTCCAGATCAACGTGCTTTGCAAAAGTGCTGTACACTCGCAGAGCTCTCGCTAAGACCTGCAGGACTCTTGCTGTAGACTTGCCAAGCAAATTTGCTACAAATACAAAAAAGTGTCAACTAGAACTTGTGCTGCGAGTGTTCTGCAAGTCTACAACCTGCCAGGTATGTGTGCAGCAAATTAGCAAGAATTACAATCTAAGGAATCTAAGGGCCAGCCGGTGTTCTGCCAGGGAACCCCTCATGAAAGTTCAAACTTAGCTGCCTGCTGACCCCAGGTCACGACCCCCAGGTTCACCCTGCTCGCAAGGAGAGTACCTGAAGACACTGTGCTGGCAGGGATGGATAGAGCAAAAGGAGATCCAGATAACGAGTCAAAAGGTCAGGGCGGGCAGCAGACAATCTTAAGGTGCCCATACACCTTACAATTTATCTGCAGATTTTCTGTGGTCAGATGGAAAAAGTGCTACAGATTGGCCCAGGTGGAGATTACTCCATCCACACAGTTTATTGTAGATGGAGGAATCTGTTGCAGCTTTTCCATCTGACCACAGAAAATCTGCAGATAAATTGTAAGGTGTATGGGCACCTTTAAAACAGGAGAACAAGCCGAGTCGGTACATGAATGATCAATCCACAGGCAATCAGGTCAGGAACAATAGCACAGAGGGGGCTTAGGAACAAGTGTTGCTCAAGCAACCTGAAGCGGCTCTGAAAGGGATTTAAATAGGGAGACAGATAGTAGGCAGGACAGAAAGTAGCAGGGGGTGAAGGTGGGGGTACAGTTCTAGTGGATGTTTATATAATATGGGGGGGGGGGCGAAAAAAATGTTCTGCCCCGGGCGCCCATAACTCTGGTTACGCCACTGAGGGTATATTAACCCTCATGTGTAGTGGGCGACACCCCTAGCTGTTAACACAGTGCAGCAAGAGGAGAGCACATGCTAGTGGAACCACAGGTGCCAGCAGATCCACAGCAGCAAACAGGTAAAAAAAAATGCAAAGCAGAGAAGCACCGATCAGCTCTGCAGCTTATCTGTGACAATATGTTTAATATTATTGTTAACTATTTAAAAAAAATCCTTAGTTTGCAAATATATATTTAGTACAAAGCAAACCCATGACAGGAGGATTCCAAAAGCATTATATGTTTTCAAAAGAGTGTGCAAAGCAGTAACTGCTTTCTTTCAGACTGTCTTTCTCTCTTGGTAACATTTATGAACAGAGCAACAGAGAGGGAGGGGAAGGGAGAAATCACTGCTCTGCTACTTACCCTGACTATAGGCGATCCCAGGAGTCTTACATTCTCATTGATTATATTCATAAGCTTCTGTATAGTTGGATCATCGTACTCAAATCTACGACTCAGTAGTATGGATACAATTATGTTGGCCACGGCCGCATTAAGGATGGTGTGATCGTTAAAGGGCTTCCCTGAAATGTGAACAGAAACAATGTTAACATTCAATTTCACTATTTGTTCAGATATATAAAAATAAACCGGATCTACTAAGTAAAACTAAAGAGTTTCTTTTTATTTTGCAGTGTATGCGAAGTATGAATTGCAACGTATGTTAAAGGAGAACTATGGGGTTAGGGCTTTTCCCCATAGTTATCCTAAGGGTGACGGGAGGACACAAACTAGCGTTCTCCCGTCACCCAAAGCTCAGTATACCCCGAGCTACAGCTCGGGGTATACTGAGACGCCGCTGCCGGGACTGATCCCGACATTGCTGTCGAGATCCACCCAGCTGCGGGATTGGCAGCTAGCTCTACCCTATCCAGAGGCAGAGCCAGCTGTGCGCGCACCCTCCCCCGTCCGTTCCGCCAGTCAGCGCTATAGGATTGGACAGGGGAGGGCAGAGAATCCCTGCAGGGAGCCCTGAGTGACAGTCACGGCTCTCTGCAGGGAGATGATCGAGAAGTGAGCGAGCGACGGTATGTGTTCGCTCACTTCCCGATCTACTGAGCCGACCTGTGACCGTTCCATTGTCACAGGTCGGCTCAGATTATGAGGCTGAGTGAAAATCACTCGCCTCATAATTCTCCTTTTAAGTCTTATTTACGTTGCGCAATGTCAGTTATCATCTACAAACTTTGTGTAAAAGATATTGTGAGAACTCGCTTCAAATGCTAGTGCTTCATGACTGAGGCCTTTTTTTCATTTTTTTTTTTGCACCCATGTTATTTTCCACATTTTAGGCCTGAAAATTACTTGAAACCCCCAAACATTAAATATTTTCTGAAAGCCAAGACCTATAGAATA